CTGATATCTACATTTATCAATATGAAAACCAGGTGTTTCTAACTTAAATAACAGTCAGAAAGCTTAGGACTAAAAGTGCTACAGCTAGCTGCTGCTGATAATTGGCTAGAATTAGATTATCAGTACTAAGTTTGTTTTTCTGTTGCCAGCAGTGAGAAGGAGAGACTCAGTGATGCAGGGAAAGAGATAATATTTCAGCTTTAGAGACGAGGAGCTGTGTTGGGCTGCTCCCACAGGCGCTGCAGTGGAAATGACTTTATTTGACAGAAAAGAGCTGCTGAAGAGCTGCAGGCTTTCCTGGTTCCCTCTGCTGCTCTGCTTATGCTCGCTTTCTCCTGTCTGTTCAGTAAAGTCMCAGCAGGCTTGTAAAAAGGATATTTTAAATGAAATAACTGAAACCAAAGGATTATACCTGATTAAATCTGTTTTCTATTCACAGAGGTCAGACGACAATATGTTTAAGACATTTTAGTTTGCATTTCAATATTGCTGAAAAGTGTCTGAGTAAGAATTTGTATTATTTAGCTTACAATAAGAAACAAATCCTTTCAGATTCAGGTTTCAAAGAGCAATTTAAAACTATGGTTTTGGCTGCTAAGAGCTCCTACAGCACTGTTATCTTTTGTTTGTCATCAAACGGATTTTAATTGTTTCTGTTTTGCATTAAAATTCTCTTCTGAGCAACACTGATGACATGTTACAATTTATTGTGATTTGAAAAGTTTTGGACTAGCAGAGGGATTTTTATGGAGCTAAATTGGGGTCAGATGTTTTGTTCAAAATAAAACAATTTTGAAACTGGAAAAAAACGTGAAACTGAAAAGAATATATTAGAAACTGGAAAAAAGTTTCAAACATCTTGTCTTTTTAGTTTCAAATGATTTTTCCAGTTTTAAAAAAATTCAGTTTCAAATCTCTTCTTTTCAGTTTCAAGTTTTTTTTTTATTTTGAACAAAACTTATGACCCCAGTTTAGCTCCATAGCTTTTCTGATTGTGAAAAAAGTTTGAACAGCAGATTGTTTGTAACAGAAAATATTCAGGACTGGTTTCATACTTTGAGTGAATCAAGACAAATAAAATTCACTTTGTTTTGTTTTGTTCACCGGTTCAGGCAGAGGAAGTGCAGTAAAACTGATTTACATCTTATCAGAGATGGAAAATCATAAAACCTAATCAAAGAACAAAGTAGGCTGTTAAAACTTTAAACCAATAATAAATAATAAACCAAGGTGTGAATTAAGCTTATGCTAGATTTAGGGTCAGATAGTTACTGGAGAGGTTAACTTTAAGGGGTCAGGGTTAAGCTATGATGAATGAATGGAAGTCAATGGAAAGTCCTCACGAGGATAGACAAACAAACTGTGTGGTTGAGGTCTCATAGATTCCAATAGCTCCTGATCAGTGAAAGGTTTAGGACACACCATTATCTAAATGTTTTGYTTGTTGTTGAAATTTTGCATGAATAAAGTTCTTTTTAGCCTAACTTTGGCAACATTTTGAAATTTGAACATTTTAAAATAAGCATAGGAATGATACTTTATTGATCCCATGAAGGGAAATTACAGATATTCCTGTATTTTTCAGTTAAGACTGTGTAAACTGAGATGTATTCAAATAAAGCTGATTAAATTGATTTGTTTTTGCCTTGAAGTAATCAACCCTTTGACAGACTCCAGAATATTTCAAAACGATTCACCAAACTTTGCACTTGAAAACAGAGTTGTAAAGTAACTAAGTACAAATACGTCTTTACTGTACTTACAGCGGGTAAAATAAGTATTGAACACGTCATCATTTTTCTCAGTAAATATATTACTAGAGGTGCTAATGACATGAAATTTTCACCAGATGTTGGTAACAACCCAAGTGATCCATACNCAGTTATAATGTACAGAGGAACTAAAACAAGGTGTGGAAAACAGGTTTAGTCATCAATACAAAAGAAAGAAGGTGATGCAGTGTCATAATGTTGGACAGAAAGGTGAATATTTCTGTGCAGCTTTTGGAGAGAAGCTGATGAGTGAAAGCAGAGGACATGATGCTGTCAATCCTGTATCCTGTGGAGTTTATSAAGCCTGAGATCTACAAACGTGTTTGTGTGGAAATTTGTTCATTTTCTTTAAGAAAGGACATATTGTGTTTATATTCTTCTACTGTGAGTGCAAGCCCTAAACTGAGAAGCTTCTTTTTTTGTGATTATCTGAAAAAATAAAATAAAATTAGAGCATGTAATGAAAGAACTGCAGGAAACATGCATCTATCCATCCAGTTTCAACATGTCCTGTTCAGGCTCACATGGAGCTGCTGCCTCCACACATCAGGTGAAACGTGGACCAGTCACAAACATCAACCCCTCTGGAGATAAAAATCATCTGACTGTCATTTTAAACTTTTATGTCAAACTTCCAACAAATAAATTAAATGAATTAAACTCACATGAGGTGACATTCTCCTTCTGCAAGAGCTCACAGACATCACATGAAAAGCTACAGCTCTGTCCTTCCAGCTGAGGCCACAGTGCCCCCTGCAGGTCGGTCCAGAAACATCTGTTAATGAGGAGCAAGAAGCAGTCAGAGCACATCATCTTACACATGTAAAAATCAGGTTGTTAAGTGATTTAGTTTGTTCAGTTGGAGCTATATTAGGTCATTTCTACTATTTGACTAAACAAAATAACATTTAAACTCATTTCGTTTTTAAGGTTTTGATAATGGCCTGTAAATATCAAAGCATGATTATTGACTAAAACCTAATGATGTCTGCAGCATTAAACTGAGGAAGATGTCAGGACTGGAGTCAGACAGACAGACAGGAAGTGGTCTGATCTGGCTGAGTCACGTTGGCTCCACAGGCTCCATCTTGACTGGTATTGATTCTTCATTTCTCTGTTCACATGTGGAGAGTCAGGAGGAAGAGGAGCTGCAGCACGACKCTTTCATTTGGCTCTTCAGTGTTTGTCTTTATGTCCTAAACTAGCTAATGGATGGAAACTGGAAGATTTTTAATGAGAAGCAGTAAAATGTGGTGACTGTGATGCTTTTTTCTTACCTYCAGCACTCGGTTTGCGAAATTTTCTGTTAATTATTCTCAAAATCCAAAC